CCCTGGCAGCGCTGTCCCAACGCTCCTGGAGCTCTGGCAGCCTCGGGGCCGGGACCATTCCCTGGGGAGCCTGGGCAGTGCCAGCACCCTCTGGGGACAGAAGAACCTTTCCCTGCTCTCCAGCCTSAGCCTGCCCTGGCCCAGCTCCAGCTGAACACTCCTCAGGTGACCCCTCCTGGCCCATCACCATCCTCATGGCCTCTTTTGGATGCTTTCCAGAATTTAAGATCAAACAGCACTTGGAGAATTCACTTCAATACACCATATTCCTCTTCAAAGATGAATTACCGGCTTTCTAACCATCTGAAGGACTTAAACACAAATTCCCAGCTCTTCCCACTGGCAAAGCTCATGCAGGAAGATCCCATCATCTTACCTGAATGACAGAATGCTCCTGAGGAGCACTTGGACTGCAGCACTGACCAGAAGCTCCATCCCCTCACCACAAAGACTGAATTCCTGATGGCTTCGGTGCTACTCAAGCACCTCTTGAGTGTGGGTGAGAGCCAAAGCTCATGGTTGAGTCCTCCTGYCATGGCAAGTCTCCAGCTGGGCTGGAGATTGATTTTTGGGGGACATCAACATACTATTCTCCTCCTGCTTCTCACCACAAGCCCTTAGTGGCTACACATGTACAGTGTCCATTTTGTTTGTGCTTATGTCCAGCTCTTTCCTTTGCAGTTAGAAGGGCAAACCCTGTGTTTTTRTACTGCCTGGAAGAAAGTTCCTTGGCTCCATGATCAGAAACTCCAATGCTTTCCATTTGTAGTGGATATAGTGTTATTTTCAACATTCAGCTGGAAATACAATAGTAACATACAATAGAGCCATCCACAGCATCACTCTTGGTTTTTAATTGCATTTCTTGTAAACAGACATAAACAAGCAGCAGCTTCAAGGCAAAAGAAAAGCTTTGGTGGCTCTGTCCTGGGGAAACCTTGTGCAATAGTAAAAAACCCACAGTCTGCTTCCTGCCCTGCTTAGACTGAGTCCTCATGCACATTTTATAAGAGAAACTGCCTGGGTATAAAAAGAAATGACTCACTGAAACTGGTAACATTGAACACAACTTGATTTTGATCCAAAGCCAAAAATGCTTTATTTATTTGAAATGTAAACGGTTCCTTTATCAACTGCCTGGTGCAGGGGTTGTTTAGAACAGTTTCCTTCCAAAAAGGTTGCTCAGCACAGAGTTTTGCAAAATYCTGGGAGACAGAAAAAGCAGCAAGGAARACACAGAAACCCTGTTGGCTGATTTATGGAGAGTGGGAAAGGGGCCTCCCCTCCCTTGTGAAAGCGTTCCCAGAGCTGCCTTTGCTGGAGACTTGTTGCTGCAACAAGATGAGCAAGGCAGCGATGCTGCAGCCACCACCATCGCTGCTGCTGCACCAACCACAGCTCTGAGGCTCCTTTCTGCTTCCAGCCCAGCCTGATCTCCACCTGGGAGCACCACGAGGGCACAGGGACACCGAGAGAACCCTGTGTCACCATTGGACCCTCTCCCCTTCAAGCACCGTGGGATTCCTGCTTGCTTTGTGTCACCCTGTCCTGGCTCTGCCTGTGCTGGTGGGTACAGATGGTGCTCCTGGATGGCTCCAGTGCTGCTTGCTTTGCTTTACCCAGGGCTTTCTGGCCACGGGAAGGGTCTGCAGCCTGGCTTGGTGGGAGCAGGGGTGACTGAGATGCTGCTGGAGCCCAAGAACATCTTCCTGCTGTTTTGTTACAGGATTTGGAGGAGCTGCTGGGAAATCCGTGGGTCTGCATTTCCCCTGCCAGGCCCAAAGGACCCCCATTCCTGCAGCTCAACCCACCACCTCTGGGAGGGACACGGGGTTGGGGGATTTGGGACAGTGGATGGTGTTGGCAAGGAGGGATGGTGGTAAAGAGAAGGGGAGGCCTTGGGCTCATGTGGTGGTGTGTAGCATTCATAAATGTGATGGTGGGATAGAGGCAGAATTAACTGATTGCATGAAGAATTGACTGGTGGGGAAAGAGCATCACAGGGCAGGGAAATGCCACATGCACAGCCAGAAAGAGGAAAAATCCCAGGAGGAAAAAGGGAGAAGGTGCTACTGAGCTCTGAAGATGTAATTATTTTAATTCTTTCAGCACGTGGTGTGCTAGCACAGCGCATGGAGGAGGAAAATAGGGAAGAAAACAAAAATCAATGTTTCAACTGTTGTGTTTCTTCTGAAATGAAGAGCAAGACCTTCCCCAGACATCCACCAGCAGCACAGATGTGCTTGGGAAYRGRGAAATTCATATCTGAGCCTCTTCTGTGGTCTTTTTCAATTCCACCCATGAGAGAGATGAGTTCAAGACAGGGAGAAAACCATCTGGAGACATTGAATAGTTGTGTGGTCCCACTTTGAGCAGCAGAGACATAGCACAGCTTCCCCTGCTTCAGTCCTGCCAGGGATAACAAACCCTGGAGCTGTGGGCTCTGGGCACCTGAGCCCGGAGTGGAAAAGCTTCACCTGAGTTTTTGGAGGGTGCACAAAGTGGAGGCATTTTGGCAATCCTGATTCACAGAGCTGCTGGATTCCAGCACAGCCACGACCCCAAACATGGAAATCACCTCAGTTTGGAACAAACTTTTGGGAGTGTTTCTGAAYGCCTGGGGAATTGGAGTCAATTCAAGTGCTCAATGGGACATGGACAATGCCCTGGTTTAAAAAGCTCTTTAAATCAGCACGGCTGCAAAAAGCCACTCCCACTCCCAGTGACATGTGAAGACATCAGCTTGGATGATGGTGAAGTCATAACCCTGTTTTTGAGGAAAAAGCACATGATGGAAGGCACTGGTGCCTTGCTCCAGGATGGGAGCAGTGGGAAGGTTTGCTGGGGGGATGCCAGAGCTGCCCCTGCCAGCACCTCTGGGGGCACTGATTCTGTTCTGCAAAGGCCTTCAGCACCTTTCTTGGAGAAACAGCTGGAATTGTTCCAGGAGCAAATGTATCAGACTCCAAAACAATCTCACTTACATTACCAGTGTCTGGATGGTGAATAATGTGGAGAGGAGAAAGTGTCGTGGGGGAATTAATAAACTGAGCCTGGGCTTGGTGGCAAGGAGATGAAAATATTAGGGAAGGTGACAGGCAAAGTCAATAAATTGTGAAGCAAATGCGTTATTTGGGAAAGGTCTGGCATTTCTGGAGCAGGCTAGGCCGAGCACAGCCAGCCCCATCCTTGACCACCTCCCAGCAGTACATTTTTCTCTAATGCCACCACTCTCTTTTACTCCTGAAGCAGGAATGYGCCCATCAGCTGCAGAGAGCAGGATGGAAATGGCAGCTTCCCTCTCCATCCATCCCCACATCCTCCATCCCACTGGGCTGGGCTGTCAGGGGAGTGCAGTGCTTTGTCTGTACAGTTYCTGCTCCTGGAAAAGTTGCAGGATTTGAGAATTGTAGGTTGTCAGATAAGGAGTGTTGTGGAAACCAGGGTGGTGCAGGATCCAGCCAGCGTGAGAAGGTGAGAGCTGGGGTCCATAACTGCTARAATGAGAGACCCCTCCAGACCCTCCAATGGATCTGCAAACATCACTGGGAATTGTGTGATGGATTCAGAACAAGGGACAAACAAGTCCCACAGAGCACAGTCAGGGCTGACACAGAATAATTTGAGCAGGAAGAAAGATYAACTACAGGTTTTCCCTGCCCCAGGAGAAAGATGACTTGGGACAAAAAATATCCATGTTTGCCTGAGCAGAATAATCTGCAAATGCAGTCATCCTTTTGGGTGATTGATGCTCCCTGCTCTGCTCAAACTTCTACATCAAAATCGTGGGGAAAAAAAAAAATCCTTGCTGTGGAGAAACTCCGATCTCTGAAGTGCAAGCACACAGGCACACACCCCAGCACAGCCCCGAGGGAGCTAMCAAGAGTACAAAGCAGCATTTGATGTTCCTGAGCCTGCTCCAAGCATCCCAGCTCCCAGACCGGGAACCAGATCACGGTAACAAAAGCAAACAAGACAGGGTTTAAATAGAAGCAAAAACCTTCAAAGGGAAAAACCAATGAGAGCAAATGTTTACCCCAAAGATGGGATAGTTTAGAAATTAGGGCTAGGAGCCAACTCTCCAATATTTTTAGTTTCAGAAGGTTTGCAAACCTCAGCTGCCAATGTGGCCCCGGCATCTCTGTCCTTGGATGGGTGACCTGCTGCAGGTGCAGCTCCAGACACCCCTGGGGAGGAGCAGGAAGGAAAATTCAATACCTGATTTTGGGGCACATCAGAAAGTGTTTGGCCATTTATCAGCTAATTACAAGTAGAGCAGAAACAGGTAAGATAATTATCGTTACAGACACACAGTGAAGAAGCCTGGGGGAATTAAGGAATGAGAAAACTGGCACAGACCCCAAAATGCAGAGCTTTAACATGGATTCATGCTTAGAGTAAGTTCTTGTTAGTTTTAGTTAAAAACCGACTTTGGGAGCTGCTTTAGGAATATGAAAAGTTCTGGAATGGTTTGTGATAGGAAACCATAAGGGATTAAGGAATCACAGAGGAAAYCATGAGCCTTCCATTGCCTACAGGGTCTCTGGGAGAGCTGGAGAAGGACTTTGRACAAGGGCCTGGAGCGACAGGAGAAGGGGGAATGGCCTCCCACTGCCAGAGGACAGGGTTAGAYACTGGGAAGGAATCCTTCCCTGTGGGGTGGGGAGGCTCTGGYACAGGGTGCCTGGARAAGCTGTGGCTGCCCCATCTCTGGATGGTCCTTAAGGTCCCTTCCATCCCAAATCAGCCCAGGATTCTACGATTAAAACCTGGCAGCAGCAGAGAACAGTGAGGAATTGGGGATCAGTGCAGCAGCCAGTGCTATCCTGTGAACACATCAAGGAAAGCTCATGGACAGAGAGAAGCAAGAGATACAGACAAAATAGAAATGAAGATGCTGCCTTGTGTTTTGACTGGCAGGTTTAAGTTTATGGGAAGGACAACAGTGTGATGACCAACCCTCCAGGGCAGGGTCCCCCTGAGCACTCCTGGGGTCAGCTCCACACAAAAAAGAACAAACCAGGTGTGAACTTATATTAAGTTTATTCACATTTCCAGAGGAAAGCATCGGTGGAGYGCAAGGTCATGGCTAGTGTCAAAAAGCTCAAGTATTTGGTTTAAAACAGGCAGACATTTGGGAGGCTGAGCTGAGCCCCTGCTCCCATCCCCTGCATGTGTTTCCAGTTCATGGAACAGGAATCTCCAAAATAAGCTGGCTCATCACATGATGGGGGGGATGTCAAAAACTTTAAAGCTCTCTGTGGTATAAATCCCTAAGCAGGGCATGAAAGTAGCAGGCAGGAAATCTTGTACAGCTGAACTGGCTTATCCCTGGGCTGAGTGCTGGGTTTTTCCTTCGGCTSTGGAGTTTTGCTGTTGGCGACGCCGAACGCTCCTGTCCAACTTTAATGCGATTCATTACCCAGAGCTGAAATTTGCTGCTCCAGGATTACAAGAACTATTGCTGATGATGGCACAGAAAAACTTTAACATGACTCCCCACCGAGAAGAAAGAGAGAAAAGGTGAAAAAAATTGATTGCTCTGGATTTCAAAAACAGSGATAAGGGAACAAAACCAGACAGGAATACGATTTTGAGAACTGGGACTTCCCAATTGCACTGCTGGCCCATGGGAAGTTGTCACAGCTCCGGGTTGCTTCTATGGAATGTATTTGTATTTCTGAGACTCCTGGGTTCAGCTGGCCCAACAATTGGCTCCTGCTGACATCCAGCAGACCCAAAATCCTCTCAATTCCAGCAGGCATTAACCAGCTTCAGCTTTGCTCCCCACAGAGCCACAACTTTTGGATTTTTGCTTCAAAGCTCACATTTCAAATCAGACAAGGCATCAGATAAGCAAAGGCCTCTGCAGAGCCCTGGCTGTGCCACAGGTCTGGAGCAGGGCTGGGAACAGGCAGAGCAGAGTTGGGACAGGCAGCAGGAACAACTCACCCAGGTACAGGGGAAAGCAACACTCCCTGACACAAGGGGAATGGTATCAGCAACCAAGAATTTCTAAGTTAGGGGCTAATAGATGAGCTGGTTTGGGTGGGTTGTTTTAAGATTGTAATTATTAGAGAGTTCTAAATGTGTCCACTGAAGACACTGGAAGTCTTTTTGCCCTGTGAAGTTGCTGGATTTTATTGGAATACAGCTATATGTGGGAAAGGAGTGGGTAATAGATGTGTGCACATTTTTGCCTGCTCTGCAAAGACAATTATCAGATTACAGAAAAAGGCACAAGAAGCACATTCCTCCTTCTTCCATCCCTAAAAGGTTCCTCCTTCCCCCCTGCTGAAAGCACTGTGCTGGCTGTCACTGAACAACCTCCAAGTACACATTTTCCTCTTTGATCCAGCTGGCTCGGAAGCCCCAAGGATTAAAGATTTCTCTTCTGTTTGAATAATTTCACTGTCTAGAATCTCACTGCTTGTTTAACCAATTCTCTTCATCCTCCATCTATATACAGTAAAAGAAATGGAATTAATACTATATTTTGGTTTATTGCTAGAGGAAATCTGCTGTCCCCCAACTCAGCCTCCCAAAGGAAGAAGGTAAAACAGAAAATCTGGCAGGGCCTACTTGCTTGAAACAAGAAAAAGGCAAAATTGCACTTTTTCCATCTGGCTGGGTGTYGAAGAGGGGGAAACTGGGGTAAGGAAGGGCTCAGGGTTATTTAGCAAGTCAGAGGAGAGCCAGGAATAAAACAGACCAGCTCTGGATCCTCTGCTCCAGTTGTCAAAAAACAATTTTGCTTTGCCCAGAAGGCGAGTTCTGTTGGAGGACAGGACATGCCACTTACAATTCTTAATGCTGACACATGCAGAACAAGACAAAGGAATGTGACTCTTTGGTGAATATTCTGGTTATCATACTAAAAATGTATTTTAATAWATTAAATTCACCCCTTGCCTAGTCCTTAACATTGCAATAGGCTYCTCCCCTGCAGCCACCTGGCTAATATTTAATGGTTCAGCTATTAAACACCYCACCAAACCTGTGTCTTCTCTGTGAATGCTTCCACTCCTTAAATCTTACCAAAAAATAAAGTATGGAAACAAACTGCTCTAAATGTTATTCCAGGACTGAATGGCTTCAGTGGTGTGGATTCTATTTACAATTTTAAGGAACTTTCTGCTAAAGACAAGTTGCAAGAAACCTTCTCTGAACAGCAGGAGGGTTGGACAAAGGACGTGGGTGATGCAGGAAGGGGGAACAAGTGTGTTCCTTGTTCCTTGTCACCAAACACTCACGGACAGTGTGTTCACTCTGTTCCCAACAGTTCCTGGGAAGCCACACTGGTGGCAGAGATGCCAAGTCTGAGGTGCCCATGGTTGGATCACATCACCYTCAGTGCCCTGAGACACCCAGGCAGCCTGGCAGAGGCTGATGGCAGAAACCTTCCACGGYACCAGGTCAATGTGCCCCAGTGCTCTGGAGGGCTCCCACACACTGGATTCAGCCTGGCAGCTCTGGATGCAGGGCTGGAAGGGCTGCCTGAGCTGAGCTGGTTCTACAGCAGGCACAGAGCTGTCAGGGAGAGTGGCTGGAGAGAGAGCCATGAGCTGCTGCTGCTGCTGCTACAAATAAGTGGGAACACCATGCAGAGCCCAGCAGATCTCACTGCACCTTTCCATGGGGAAAGGACAGCTCAGGAATATGGGAACCACCACCCAACACTTCCATAGTCATGTCCCTAAAAGTGGCTCTCATGGAGCAGAACGACCTGTGCTCCCACCCCACACAGGAACACAAGACACAGGCTCTGCTCCTTCCCTGAGCAGAGCAGCTCTCTCTCCTTTGGGAAGGAATTGCTCCCCCATGTTGTTWAAATCCTGATTCCTCTCCAATCTCACATCCCTGTGAGCTCTGCCTGCCCCCTCCCAGAGGCAGAGGCACTGCTGCCCTGTCCYACAGCTCTCTGGCAGAACACACCGACATCCACTTCAAGAGGAGAAGGCCAAAGCACTTCACACTCATCACTTTGGATTGTTCAAAAGAAAAGCCATTTGTTTCCAAGAAATCTGTTTACACACACACTCTGGACACTGCTGGGTTTCCATGTCCTATTCCCAGCATTTGGCTGACAGTGGAACAAACACATCAAATTCCCAAGTGCTCCTGATTGTGCCATTTTGCCAGAAGGTGCTCCTGGCCCAGAAGCAGCTGTACAAAAGCCCTGATGGGAAAGCTAAAATACATCTGTTTGTCTCCAGTGGCAGATGCCTTTATGGGATCTTTGCCTACCCAAAGCTTACCTGCACAGCCCCTGCTTCCTGACAGAGAGTGACAGGAATGAGGACATTTTGCTTCTGGCCAACCAGTGCAAGCCATCCCTGATGCAAACTTTCTGCCCACGCTCCCTTYCTGCTGGGGTATAAAGCAGTCCAGCAGCCAAGGGTATGACAACAACCAGGATCAGTAAGAAAAACTGGGATTTAACAATCAGTCCTGAAAAAGTCAGCTCCTGAGTCACAGCRGTGAAGGATACAGCAGAGTAGCTTTGAAGTGCATCTTTTTCCTCCTTCCTCACTCTTTTATTACACAGAGCATTTTAAACTCACTGGTGATCACTCACTCAGTCATTCAGGCACTATCACTGGAGTTTTATTCAAAACTTTCTTCTTGCTTCTGCAGCTCCACCAATGYTACCCTGGATTCCCCTTAGAACTGGAGGTTTCTTCTCGATCTCAAAAAGAGATTGATATATCAAAACCAAATTCAATTACAAAATATAATAATATCCTCTTCTTGGAAGTGAAGCTGCCCCATATTCTAGACTGTGGCAGGATTTTTATAACCTCAAAACATTTTTACTAAGTTCTACTTAAAATACATCCGAGTCCCAATCCACCAGTCCAGCACATTGTAATGCTCACAGCTTTAGATCCATTCCCAGWCAATTCCTCCTGGGATCTGCCAAAGGCTTCTTCTCAGTTGTCTTCTGCAGACTTGAACATAAGGATGGCRTTGTAGATCTTCAGGGCAGGGCCCAGCTTGATGCTGAGTATTTTAACAATGTCGTTCTGCTTGAGGAGCAGGAAGGCCTCACCATCAATCTGCTGGAGGGTGGAACACGACACAGGATTAATCACCAGTGCACAGGCAGGATTCCCATTTCTGGTCATTCTGGGATTCCTCCCTAGTTCTGACATCTACACCCCGTGATACCCCCTTTTCAAGGGGCACAGACCTCATCTCACAGCACATTTTCTAGAAATGGAGAAGCTGCAGCTGTCCCTGTCCATGGCAGGGGGTAGAATGAGATAAGCTTTAAGATCCCTTCTAACTCAAACCATTCCATGATTTCATGTGCTATTTAGACCAAGGCACAGTAATGATGTAATATGGCTGGAAAAACAGAGTTTCCTAATCCATCAACAAGGAGATATTCAATTAGATGCAAATTAATCAAGTGATTAACATGCTACCATGTGAATCCAGGATGCTGTAGGTAGCAGTGAGTGAAATCATGACATACTGTTTCTAGAAAAGGTTAAAAATKCACTTGAGCAAGAACACCCACAGAGACAACACAGATATAATTAATAAAAACCCCAAATGCTGCAGGGATGAAGCCAAAGATTAATGGACACAGACAAACAATACGTGTCTCCCTAAGTTATTCCATTAAAGTCCATTTACAGAGACTGACAGWGTCTCCTCCTCTCACTTGATGTTCACCAGTGCAGCACACACCATTGGACACGCAGCCCAGCCAGAGCAACAATTCTGCTATTTTTGTAGTCTTCCCAACTAGAATTTTTTTGGATGTCAATGCCTGGTGCAAGAGGAAACACTGAGTAAACTCAGAAAATGTACAATTAAAGCAAAGAACTGGGAGACAGGAGATTTGGTTTTCTCACCTCTCATCACATGAGAGACCCTCAGCAAATTACTCAACCTCCCACTTAAGTAACTATTAGTAACTAGGAAGTTAATTCCTCCACTGGGAATGACAGGAGTGCTCCCAGTCCAYAGATGGCCACACCATGTCCCTAAATTGTATTCTCACACTGCCTTGAGTCTACATTGCTGCAATAAATGTGTTAAAAATAGCTTGAAACAAATGGACTGCTGCTTAAATTAAATAATAGATTCAAGAGGAGTGAAAAACTGGAAAACAGCTCTACATTTCAAAATGCTTTTGTGTCCAATATTATTTATTCCTATGCTTAATTTTCACTGCATTGCCTCACACTTGCTTATTTTAAACAGTCCTGCCCTGAACTGGACCTAGAAACACGTCTGTGCTTTATTATTCATTTCTTTGTTCCATCTTTTTTGGATGGGTTTTAGAATTCTGTGCACAATTTGTTCTCTTCACTCTTAATGTAAGCAGCAACTTATCCTTCTCCAGCCCCCCACCAAGGGAAGTCTGCAAGAGATTTATTTATCCAGGACATGAAGAACTTGGAGGCCAATTGCAGCTAATGGACAGTGTGGGGGAGTTCAGCTCTCCTGTCACTCACACCTGCATTCTGGCCAAAGCCAAACTGCTACAAGGGTTTTAATTTCAAACTGACAATGTGGCTTGAGCATAAACTGGAAAAACAACACAAACTCCTCTAATCTAATCCAGAAAATAAGGATTAAAATGGACCATGGCTATGGCACTCTCAGAAACAGAAAGCAGTCACTGTGCTAAGGACCAGAAGAAATAAAACACATGGAGAATGGTTGGATTCATTAGAAGATTTGCTGGCACATTTCATCTCTGAATACACCTTCCCTAATCCCTTTTACACTCAGCTACACTGAAAGATGGGCTCATTTAAATAAATTTCACTATTCCCACTATATTCAGTGAATGAGTATTCKACTATATTGTCACATTGTGGACAGTGCTTTTTGCAAGCCTCCATTTCTCCTGCTTTCTATTTTGTATRAGTCTGCATGGTTTTAAAACAACGTAAAACAAACCAGAGATACATAAATCCACAAAATGCACTGCAGCCTGATTGCCCCTGAAAGGGAGCCAGCTCTGGAGCAGASAGCAATTACAGACCTGCCCTTTCCAGTCACTGCCATAGAGGTGACTCCAGCCCTTCCCTGCAGCTCTCACAGCCAGACAGGAGAATTCTGACAACAGAATCATGGGACCATGGGATGGTTTGGGTTGAAAGCTCATCTCATTCCACCACTTGMCATGGRCAGGGACACCTTCCACTATCCCAGGTTGCTCCAAGCCCTGTTCAACTTGGCCTTGGACACTTCCAGGGATGGGGCAGGCAAATTAATTGTGTGCCCAAAATCAGGAGAGCCACACCCTGTGCCTGAGGAGGTCTCCCAGAAGCCACAGTGACCACACCAGGAATGGTACTAGAGCCCAGCCCGTGGCAGTACTGACTGGACACACCACACAAAGGACATGCTCTGACCTCCCAACCTCTGCTTGTCAATAGGAAAGGCTCCCCTCCTGCTCTCAGCCCTGCCCCAAGGGGGAAGCCAGAGATTCCTGGGAAACCCTGCCCCTGCCAGGCTCCCCAGGAACATGCAAATGTCCTCGTTAGAGGCAGCAGATGAGATCCTCACTAACCATTCCAATGACACATTCAGAGCAGTGCCAAACCCATGGCACAACGGTCCAAGACAGGATGTTAACCATAAGCTCAGTGATTGCAACTGCAGGGAAATTTAAAGCAGCAGGATGCAATTAGTCATGCTGGAAATCAGCTCCATGCTRAAGCTGCCTCCTAAATGCCACAGGCTCGGCAAAGACATGGCTGAGCAGGTCTGAGCTCTCTGCCACAATTGCAGGGATCTGCAGCACAGGGTCTGAGCACACCCAACCTACCTCTTCCCTGAACACAGACGCTTGTTCTTTGCAGCCAGGTAAACGCTGGATAAAGGTCACCACCTGCAATTGCATGTGAGAATAAGGAATCACAGACACTTACAATGGGACACTATCAAGCAAAACCCTCTTATTTCATGAGAGTTCTCTGTACAAGAATTTTTAAATCTTTAACACTCAAAACTCTCACATTAATGAAGAATAYAGATGAAAAACATTGCTGGGTTGTTGCTGCAACTCCTCTGTGTATTTTAGTTACCAGCAATAACTACCCCTTATTCCCATTTGACCATTTATTTCCCTCGTAAGAATCCAGCTTCTCCACTCCTCTAAAAGATCCTCAYAGAATCAACATTATTTTTACACATTAAAAGCTGTATATGGCTTATACTACTTTAAASCCACTCACGATTTCACTTTCTCTACAGTACTGCTGGAAAGTAAAACTAAGAAGAAAAAAGGATTAYACAGTTTCCCATGATGACTTGCCTGTTAAGAGACAAGATAAACCAACTGAATGAGCACTGCTGGTTTACCAACATCCAAAGGCAGAAGAGCTGGGAAGCAAAGAAATTTTGGTTTTATTTAATCCATGCTGGGTGCACAGGATCCACGGAACCAAAAAGATTAAACAAGTAAAAGTTTTAATTTTACATTTCACATTAGGAAAAATCTTTCTAAGCAAGGAATCTGTTAACATTTGGGATAATCTCCCTGGAGTCATGCAAGCAGCCCTGGGGCTACATTACATAACACCAAGCAGTGTGAGGAGCAGGCCTGTGTGCAGTCAAGGATGACTTAATGTGTATTGTCTTCTCCAGCTACAGCTTCCCTGGTTCACAGGAGRTTTGTATATTGAGGCGTAATCAGATCAAACATCTCTTGTTAATTGGATGCTCCCCTGCAGGAGCAGCTCTGCTTCATGAGGCGTAACCATGTGAGTTGTTGCAGATGTGACATTTCTTCCCTGTACACAAACAAGCAGCTGGGAGGGGTCACTGTCAGATACAGGCTCCCTTCAATCCGTAATTTCAAAGTCTCTCTGAAATCACATCCCTGCACCTCCAGACTAGACTTAGAGCCATTCCCTCCCCGCAGTTCTGACCAGGCAGAAATGGGGCTCTCAGAGTGCCCTCCAGGTTTGCTCTGCTCTGGCAGGAGCAGCTCTGACTTCCGTGGTTTCTGTTATGTAACCTGAAAGCAGAGCATCTCTCTCCTTGATCCTTCTATTCTGCTCCATCTTAAAGGGAACCCCTAAAATCCACATCTCCATTGGGCAGTGACTCCAAATTTTCTTCTGTAGAAGTACAAACTCCATTTATTAACCAGTAACAAAATAATGCTTTCCTTTTGAGTCTCCCCCACCACTGAGAACTGAAACACAAATGAAAATCCTTCTGCTGGGTCTGGTTCCTTCCAAAATTTAAAAGACAGCTGGAGCCCTCAGGGTGAGRACTGAGAGTGCTCTTCTTTAGTGTCTGTGGCACTCAGAGGCTGGCAGATGTCTCCAGGGAATAACCTGGGCTTGCCTTGCTCCTGTGTCCTTCCCTGCAGCACTGCTGCTGGCCACCATCACACACACGGAGAGACAGAGCTTTGATCTGCCCCACGAGTCCTTTGTAGGGACACTGCAGGTTCCCTGTGCCACTGTAGAGGCCTCTTAAACAAACAGGAGCCCTGGGAGTTTACCAGGAATGAAAAACACAGAGGAAAGGAAGAAGCAAGAGGAGACAGAAAACAGGAAAGCAGATCCCTGGACACGAGACAGACCCTGGATACCACTGAGAACAGTGACCTGCCTGGCTGTCACTGCTGGGAGGGGACTGGAGATCCCAAACTGAGACAGGGCAGCTGAGGGATGAGGGATGCTTGGGAGCACAAGGACAGAACACAGTGACATCACAGTGACACAACCCCAACAGTGGCAGGGAAGCCCTGAAACCTGGAAAAGGGTGAGACTGCAGGGGCTCAAGGTGAGGGTGGGACAGGGTGGACAGGATGGGAACACAGTGGGATCAGAGCTTTTCTATGAGGAGGTGAAAGCCTGCTGGCACCACCTGCTGTAACCACCCCAGGGCTCACAGAACTGTCTGCTACAAGCTCTTACACTCCCAAAGCACACTGGGGAATGGAGAGGGCTTTGTGTAATCCTGAGAACACCCTGGAAAGCGGATGTGACCCTTCTGGAAGGCGCTGATGTAATCCCAGGTGTGTGACAGACACACTGAGCTCAGCAAAGGATCAATGCCCCTCGGTGACAAAGCAGCTCCACACTGCACCCCTGCAACAGCTCCTGCAGGACTGACCCCTCCTKAGGCCACGGACAGGAGCTGGGGTTTACTGGGATTTAGGAACCCACAAACACTTGGCACAAGGATGGTCCCCCCAGGTATTAGCATTTGATGAAGGATTAACTAATGAACAATACAATTCTAGCACATCTGAATGTTCTCCTAGGTGTCAATAGGCTGTGCTCTGAAAACACGACAGGAAGCTTTCAATAAATACCAAAGCTGCATTAAAGTAACCACTCTGGGTGACTGCTCAGCGTTACCACGACTTTCTTAGCTTGAGGGCCCCTAAATACTGCTGCTGCTCTGCCATTTCAGCTGTTCTCAACCAGCAGAGAATTAAAGCAACCTTTTTTTCCTTAATGTGGGTTTTATAAAATAAAAACAGTTCTTCAGCCTGAAACCAAAGGAGAATTTTACACTCCYATCACTCCTGTTTCGGATCAGCGGAATGGACTCCTTTGTGCAACAGAGTTCAAAGCACAATTTAAAGGCAAATGTTTGCCCTGCAGGAAGAGGTTGGGAGCCCAAATGCCAACAGACCAAACATACTTTGGACTCCTAAAACACAGCAAGACCTGCTGCTTTCATCTCCTAGACCTGTGGCTACATCGCACGGCACATGCTGATGCTGCAAGCGCTCAGAGAGAGCCCAAATTGATTCCTCTGGGAATATGTGATGAACATAATTAGCAAAACCAGACCTATTTTACTGGAATTCAAGACAAAACCTGTAAGGACTTCAGCCAGTCCACTCTGGTGCTGCAACTGAGCTTTTTAATGTGCCATTCTCRCTGCTACTGGCAGCCAAAAGCTCCCCAGTTGTTTCAGCAGAGTTCAGTTTATCTACGTTTGAATCACTGTATCCAGTGCCCTGCATTCATGTCCTGTGGTCCCTGCTCACACTCATCYGTTATCAAACTAATACCCAGTTAAATTTACCCAGCAGTTGCTTTAAAGGTCAACTGCAAAGGACAAATTTGATTTGGCTTGGATCCTGACACTGTACTTCCATGAACCAGCCTTCTGTTTCATCCAAAAGAAAGAGATTTTGATTATCATGTCAGAGGATTATACACTTCTGAATTTATTGATTTGCTAAAGGATCTTTTGGACAAATCATTGGAAGCCTTCTCAAAAGGACAGGAACAGTAAATCTTTCAGAGATTTTTTTTTCCTCTTTG